TTCAAAAAATCTTTTTGCATTTGTTATCCTAGTTTTTTGGCAAATTTATACTACTAACCTACTAGGATTCCCTCTCTAAATTATTCGTATAAATGTAAATTTATGACTACTACTAAAATAAGTTCGTGTCTAGAGGGATACAACTATTCCTATCCCTCTAGAAAAGAACTTATTATCTCAACAAAAAATAGCTTTTGTATTTCTCGGTACCCCTCACTATGTAAGCCCAGAAGTTTATCATGATCGGTTGAGTAGTTACGGCATGAAAGCAAAACAAACAAAGGTATAAACAAACTAACTTTTGCACCTATAATAATTGTAGCAGTGGTCTAATCGTGGACGAAATTGACTGATCCCATATAGTTTGCACATGCTGCTCGGCTTAGGGTCTCCAATACAGTAGTCGGATGTTCTGTAGCGATTGGAGGTGCTTGAGATTAATAGCTTAGAGTACATTGCCGTACATCAATAGTTTCAGAAAGGCTGTGAATGGGACACAAAATATATAAATATAAAACTAGCGACCCGCCCCGACTGCGCACAGGTGTAATATAGATACTAATGTGGCGTCAGCAGTATGGAGAAATTAATTATATGTATTTTAAATCTTTTTTAATGATATGCTGTAAAGGACAATTAAGATCTACATTAAATGTTCAACGTATCTAATGAATATAATTAGACAAGGAATAATAATTTATTGTTTGAAATAGCTTCGTAGCTTCGTAAGTAATCCTCATTTTTTTTGTGATACGTAATAGATAGAGTTATCCATAGGATATAGACAATACCATCACGAACTTTTATGTAGATATTTTATGTATTATAGGTAAAATCCGTTGCGTAGTTTTAAAGATCTGAGCATACAAAAACGGGAAGCGACAGGTACAAAAACGGGAATATTTAGTCATAATTAGGGGAAACTAAAACTTCAAACAGAAATTGTATGATTGATACAAATATTAATTAACAGATTTAAAAAAAAAGGTTTTGAAATTTCGTAGTTGATTTTCTTAACAGCGCTAATTTTAGTCATACAGCTTAAATGTTAGTCCGTTATTTGTTATTCCAAATAACAGACATTATTCTATTTTTGTAGCAAAATATTTAAGAGGAAATCAGAACTACGCGAAAATCTACGAAGTTATTATCATGTTCAAATATTTTACTTTCAAGATAATGTAAATTGTTTGAAGTTGTGGTAGTTTAATAAGGTTTTATTTAGGCATACTTAGACCCACACACGGAGGAACGCTTGTATTGGATGTATCTTAAAACATATTGCCTTATTAGCAACTAAACATTAGTAGAATATTTATCTACTAATTGTATTATAAATATTAATTTATAGGTACTTGTTCTGTTCAGTATTTGATAATAATATTTATCAACATCAATTACAAGAAATTTGTGCGCAAAAAAGGAAATTAAGCGGAAGGAAGGTATTTTGTTCTCGGCTCCGGTATAATAAATTCTCCTACATCAACAGCTGTACAGTCCCACAGGTCTATCGTTATCAAAAGCAAACATGCACATACTGATGATTGAGTATATATTTTTAATATTTTTATATAGGTACAATGTTTATTAATGTATGGCATATAGCTTATAGCAACACACACAACCCAACAGATTAGGTCTTTCAACAAACACTATCTGCGCTTATCGCCCGCCTGACTCAATTTACACACGAACCTAATTATATTTTGTTTGTTTTATAGTCGCTCATCGTTATATGAATAATTTATTTAAAAATAAACAGTAAAAAGCTTTTTGCATTACTGCAATGAATTTGTAGAAGACATGGCTCAAAATCTGGCTTTGGGAAAAAATATCTTCCGAGTTTCCGAATTGCGGTTTAATCACTGACAATTTTAGATTGTTTAACATGTGATTTTTTTTACAAATTATAAGCAAGTTACAGGAATGTTTATTACTTACTGTCTTTAGTACCAGAGCTACGGATTATTTTACCTAAGATTTAAGTGCGTAGGTATGTATATTTATCATGCTTCAATGCACATTAAGATGCCAATACCATAAGACAAGTGTCACATAATTATTTTCTCAGATCAGTGAGCCATCACATTCGATTTACTCGTATTACGCAGTAACATTTCCGTATTAATTTAAATTCACTTTCATAAATAATGTGTGGTGTGAATACACAAACAAGACTCCAAAATAAATATTAACCCATTTTAGAAAGTATTAAAGGTACATACATAAGTACAACATAGTTTGTTAAAATCAATAAAAGCTAAAAAAGTCATAATATGAAAGTAAAACCTGCCTACATCTTAATCCGAAGTTTTGGTAATAGATTCTGAAATATACTTAGTTGGTGTGTAGGGGAGACCGAGGGGAGTTGAAAAATTTTGTCATTTTTTTCATACACCAAATACTATAGACAGAAATCGTGTGATATTAATACCAACCGATAGGTCATTCTTTACACTTGCGAATGACTAACATAAAGCAATTGTAAGCGTTAAATATTGTGGTGAAAAATCGACTTAACCGTAACAATTCAACATGTTTCATATCCCCTCATACCGAGGTAAGATGAAACAGGGGTCTAGGAGAGTTAAAACATATGATTTTTGAGAAGTATTAAGGGCTGTGAAATAAAAATGATGATATAATTTAAAGATATTTATTAAAAGAAAGCTTTTTAAGTACGAAGCACAATTTCATTACTATTTTTTCTGATATATCACTTAAGTAGGTAACTACAGGTCTAATACAAATAATCAGCTCCTAAAGTAGTTAAAAGTACCATAACGTCCTATACGTAACATTAATTAAAATAACAGTGAGATAAACAAAATGTTTTACATTCTTATCTTTGACATAAAATAATTATTAACTTTCAGTCGTTTCTTAAGTATTACAATCAGTCTTGATCAATATTTCTTTAAATGTTTAAGTTACAATAAGTAGTTGTGGCAAACGTAAGAAACTTCCACACCAGTGCAAGCTTCATGAGCCTAGTTATTGCACCAATTGCAAAAGAATTCTTCTTCTTCTTCACTATCTTCGTTTTCTCTTTGTTTCTTGACAACATTGATGTTTTTAGTTTTAGTGCCTGGTTTTGATCTTTTTCTTGTTTTGTTTCTTCAAAGTTAGGTTTTTTCACCTTTTTCTTGGCCGTTCTAGCTGCCTCGATTGCAGCTAGTTCATTCTTTACGGGAGTGTTGGTTAAGATAGCGGATTTCACTTTGCGTGTATTTGTTTGATTTCCTTTCCTTGGTGGAGCCTTTGGCAAGGCTCTAAGAGTTTCAGGTGAAAATGGAATTACTGTCACAGTAACTGAAGTATCTCGTGATGTAGATGCTACAGGTATTATATCAGATGTAAAAACTTTGGAGTTAACAATAGATCCAGTGGTTGCAGGCATCGCAATAGTATTAAGCATTACTTCAGATATCGCTAGATCAGGTAAATTCTTCTCAGGGTTTTCTGCCGATTTGTGTACGCCTTCTGTTTCGTAGATGATTTGAGGAGGAGTAGCCGGTAAATTTAAGATTGATGGACTTGGTGTACGAGAATCATGTGAAATAATGTTTGCAAGAGGACGTTCATCACTTGTGCTAGAAGTAGGACATGGCGCGGGTTCTTCACTTCTTGATGCAATTATTTCACAAACTTGGATTTTATAACTAATGAACAATAATTTGCACAATTTTCATTAAATATTTTTTATAGACAATGAAACGCTCTACAAAAAAAGTCAGTTGTCATTCGAATGAAGAATTGATGAATCTACTCAGTCAAAAGTTACTCGAGGTCAAAGTTGAATTCAATTCATTTTCTTCAAAAAATGTAAAATCGCTGCAACTTCACCTTAAGCACCTTATCCCCCGGCTTCCTCTCTAAAGGCTTGTTGTAACTGCTGACTTAAAAATCTGAAAAAAACATGACTGAATAAAAAAAACCGGACAAGTGCGATTTGCCTACCGAAAGTTCCGTACAAATTGTACATATTATAAATACTTTCTTTTTACCCGAAATTCAGTTTCCAATAAAGTTAACCTATAACTACTTTTTTCTGTTTTATAAGTGAAATCGTACATCGATGATTGGTTACGAACTTTAAATATAGACTGTATTTTTGTTATGATATACCTAAATACAAACTGTTCAGATTATTCCCTGTACTTGTAGTTCAAGACGATGTTATTTGCCAAATTTCATAGTTCTAGGTCAACGGGAAGTACCCCGTAAATTTTGATTTCGTTGAGAGTCAAAATATGCATTTTAGCGGCCGTATCTTTTTTCTGTGTTAACTTAGAAGTTTGATTTCTTTCACAGTTTGAAGAGCCTGTAGACCTGAACAAGTATATGGTTTTAATTTAAAAGCGATACCTTCACGCGTTATCGAAATAAAGGGTCTTGACGGACGGACAGACAGACGGACAACAAAGTGATCCGTTTTATTTTCTTTTGAGGTACGGAATCCTAAAACCAAAAAAATAATAAAACCCCGAAAACAAAATATTACATTTCAATTTGGAATCTGTCATTCTTATATAAATATTCATTGTGTTTTCTCATTTTCGCGTCAATCGGTGTTTAATATTCAAATGGAGCGGGGTGATAAAAGGGAACCGAATTGCTGTAATAGCATTACACAAAGCAGGTATGGAGCCAAATACAATTTTCGAAACAATCCATCCGCTTGGTATTAGGAGAATGTGTGTGTCCACGTAGTATTCGTACGAAAAAGACAACCAAAGAAGCGAAGGAAAGAATTCGAAGAAATCCTGTTCAAATAAAGATTTATCTCGAAAAATGAATATAATAACTAGAACAATGTTGCGTATTTTAATGACTTAGGACTTGCAGCCTATCAGAGACACAGGTCATTATTTAATTTAAAACTGTGGTAAGTGGTACGCAAAGGGAGGTCACATGATTTTTAATGCTTTGCTTACAACATAAATAAATCACACTTGAAAGCTTCAGATTGAACCCGACACTATTGCTTTAAAACTATGTTAATGATGTTCAGCCGCCACTTTCCTCTTGATCTCTGCCCATTTGCTCACGTTAGCAGGTGAGTTGGCCATTTTATGAATCTTGTAGAAGATGGGAGTGGATACGACAATTCCGATCATCCAATATTTCCAGATCCACTGGTTCTGAAGATAGAACTTAATAGGAAATTGTGCCACCTTCGTCGAGAAGGTGTACGGGAACTTCATGGGGCGGCTCGGTGCGGATTCCGACATCGTGATGATCAATTACTGTAAAGTTTTTGATTAAAATTAATAAAAATGATATACATAAACGTAAACATAAACAATTACTGTAAAGTTTTTGATTAAAATTAATAAAAATTATATATATAATTATAAACAGACTTCCCAATTAGTCAGCAGAGTACAACGTGGGCATTATCCGGCTTCAGTAATGTCTTGGTGGGGTGTTAGCTATCAAGGAGTGACTGAACCATATTTTTGTTAATAAGGTACCAGGGTACGATTCTTGAGAAGGTAGTTATGCCTTTTAAGAACACCATGTTCTATAATCAAAAATGGTCCTTGCAAAAAGACACTGGACTGCTTGGACTCAAGGCTGGTTTAAAAAGAACATTGACTACATCAGAGCTAAAAACTTGCAGAATGGCATACTTTTTTTATGATAATTTAAAGTCCCTAAATCAGTTCATAAGATTGATAGTAAAATAAATCGAATACAGATGTTGCGTTGTGCGTGTTTCTGTTGATAGCTGGCCTCAACGTTTAAAGGACTGTAATCAGGTCAACGGAGATTATTTTTATGGAGCTTTATATATTTTTAATGCTTTTTTATTAATGTATAAGCTAACACACATCACAGTAATAAATGTAATTTGTATGCAATTGAAAAAAAAATCCTTGTAACCATATTTATGACAAGACAAAGATATGTGCTCATTCAACATAACAACAATACAAAAACAAAACTAGTCCCTTACCTAATTAAAACAACATAGAGTTACTTGTTGCTATATTCACAAAATCTAAGTATCTCCAAATTATTTATCTCATCTTTCAATATGCAGATTACATTTAATTTTATCCACAATCATCGTTATATAAACCAGGATCTCCGCGAATTATAAGCAAGTTTCTCCCAACGGCAACGGCCACTAAAATTGCACTAGCTCAATCCCTCCTTCTTTCCATACTTGACTACGGTGATAACAGTTATCTAGATTTCACTAAAGAGTAACTCGATAAACTAGTGCCTTCAAAACGATTATATTAGTTTTTTTTAAATAAGCTTTATTCAGATTTAACTTACATTTTTTTACAATGTCTATTCGCCCAAACTGTTCTAACAAACTGTTAAATTTAATTTAATAATCATATTTTCGTAATCCTAATTTAAAAAGAATTTAAGTACTAAGTTTATTATAAATTGAGCGGAATTGTTGCGGAAAATATGATTATTAAATTGAATTTCGCAACCTGCTTAAGTGGCTCGCCTTCGACGGAATGCTTATATTCTTTCTATACTTTATAGTATTCCATTGCATCGTTGTACTCCAACTTATTTAAAGGAAGGGTTTGTTTTCCTCAGTACCACACATTCAATATCCTTGGATTCTGACTCTCTGGAACTGGCAATACCAACCCACTGTACCAGGTCCTGCTATCGTTTACTCTGTAAGCTGTCCGACTATAGCATGCTCTGCCAATTGCTGTTTAACGTCCTAAACAGTGCTTCCTAAGATCTAAAATCTTTAGGAAAACAGACAAAAGACAACACCTGACTTCTTAAATTATTGGAACGAATTTCCTTAACGCGCGTTGTGAAAGGGGGCTAGACGGAAAAAATTCATACAAAAATTTGGGACGCAACACTTTATTATTAATATAAATTGTCGTCTAACTGTGGATACCATACATTAAATTTGCTTTAACGTTCGCCAACGTCCATACCATGTTGAATACACCGGTTCTCGTCCGATCACCGAAGTTAAGCAACATCGGGCGTGGTTAGTAGTAGTAGTAGTAGAATACCACGTGATGTTGGCTTTTTGCTCTTTATTTAATTTTTTACCGCAGGTTTTTTTTTTTGGTGTATTTCGTATTTTGTTTTCGTATTTTATTTTTCTTTGAATTTGAATTGTATAGTTTTTTTTTTTGTGTAAGTATGTAAATGTGAGTATAGTGTAGGCTTGTAATGTTAATTCATATTTTATTATCTTTCTGGTGGTTTTGAGTGTTTTCACGGCCTACCCAAATGTCAACATTATATTTTTTTCTTGAAATTTTGAATTTAGGAAATAAAACTAAGTAAATATATTTCAAAACACTTTAATGATCAAAAGAAGTTGATGCTATGTACACTATTACCCAGATTTCAGTCAAAGTTTTTTTTAAATTAAAGTAAATCTTATTATAACATACAACGTAAGCCATGAATTTGATGAAAGTATGAACTATTGAATTAAATTGAACTATGATTAGTAATAATATTTTTTCGTGTCATCTTGTCAGACATTCAGCGCCATCTATCGAATAGATAGGAAATCATTTCGCAAGGAGATTTTACCAATGTATAAATTGTTTTAATTGTTTTTAACATGTAGGTAATAGCCGCTTTCATACATGGCGTGGTAATTAATATCGTGTCAAATCAGTTTTAACTTCAAACAACTTCGTTCCTATCGGGTGTCCCACGACACCACACGGCTTTTATTATCTAAAGTATATTACGAGTATTATATTTTAGATGCTAGACTTTTCATATTATATTGCCTGCCCACCATGAATTCACTGTTAATACATATTAGGTAGATTTATGTGGATTTAGTGGATTTAGATGTAGGTAGGTTTTGTTGGGTGCAAAAGGTAAGCTATTACGTTTTCCCCATCGGGATAAAAATAATAATAATAATAAAATAAACTTTATTCTGTAAGAGAACACAGCATACAACTTAATATAAATTACTAACTTTACAACTACAATAATATTACATTTTTTAAAAGCTTAAAACTATTGACGTACGTGTAACACTATACTACGCTATCTGTGGTCATGAGTAATTAGTAGTCTATGAGACTGTGATCATATATGACGTGGCGCTGACGTGGTGATCACTATTATTTTTGGTACTATGTTTTGCTTGTAACCAAGCAGTCCTCTCAATCTTAACCACATAGATAGCTTGTGCGGATGAGATTTGTACACTGTGTCCCACAGATATCAAGTTCAAACATCTATTGGCTACTCTCTAGAAGCCCTCTTGTCAGTCAGATTCCACCAGTAATAAGCCGTCATCAGCATACGCGTTCAGAATACATCCGGATGGTATTGGTATCGCAATAAACCGTTGAAGCCGATATTCCACAAGTATGGACCTAGCACTGATCACTGAGGACATCCCATTGTGAGCGCCTTCGACACAGAATGATGACTAAGTCTTAGTTTAATTAATATTATTTAACGGGAATTAACGCGATCTCTTATTTAGGGTATTACATACCTCTGGTTTGCCTGACGTTTCGACCAGGTTGCACCGGCCGTGGTCACAGGCTGACTCAGCCTGTGACCACGGCCGGTGCAACCCCTAAGTACCCCCTAAGTACCCTAAATAAGAGATCGCGTTAATTCCCGTTAAATAATATTAATTATCATGGAACGCGAAAGTTTAAAAGTCTTAGTTTAGTTGTAAAAAGTAAAAAGTATGAAGATATTAATATTTTTAAAGCACCCCCGTGATTTTAGTTTCAGCAACAGCATGGGCCACCATGCGTTGTCGAAGGCGCCAGATATATCTAAGAAAATAGCCAGCACGTATTCAAATTTTGACTCTGTGACAAACTTCCTAACCGATATAACAGCATTAGTTGTCGATTTTCCCAGCGTAAATCCAAATTGTCTTTTATGAAATTTGACTTCACCTGGCAGAAGCCTACAAGACGTTCTAAAAGCTTTCCTAACGATGCTAACATGTGATTGGTCGGTAGGATTTAGGATCATCCGATGGCTTGTCGCCGCTTTTTTGGTATTAAACGAATATTACCGAACCTCACTACGTAAACCTTACAGGTAGAGGATGTGATCTCAGCAACGGCGCAGTGTGACGTCATAAGATTACGTAAAGATGTTACCGTAAAATTGGAACTTGCAACATATATCCCAGTCTGCGAACGGCAGTCAAGCTGTACAACATTACGACGCAAGCGAGCGCTCTGATATTGTTCATGTATATGGACAATGTCTAACTTTTGTTCTAAAATTAAACGGTCTAATTCTGATGTAGCTATTTTATCGTTATGAAGATTAAACTGGCCCATTGAAATATTATCCATTACTTAGTAAGTTACTCTATAAACTGATTTTATTTTCTTTTTTAAACTAAATTAAACTATTCAGTAATAGGGAATATGCATGTATTTTTTTTATTTTTTTAAACGATTCTACTAGTTATTACATTACCAAAAATAAATATAACACATCCGAAATATAAACCGTTAAGCAAAAAAAATTTTATTAAAATCACCATCATTTTGGGGCAATTTGAACACGTCCATTTTGGCGCGCTTTTTTTGTGACGTCAGATTACACTTTCAGACGAATTCGATGTCAACAACGGAGTAAAGTTCACAAAGTTTGTGAAAGTTAAAAAAGTGAGTGATAAAAATTAACTTATTACCATGGAACAGCCAATAAAAACTTATTATAAATATTGTGCCGTTTCTTTGTGCCCAAATAATATCAAAACTGCACCTGACAAAGTATATTCAGTCATTGTGTTGAGTCTTTCTACACGGGAATTTAATATTTAACACTGAAAACGTATTAGTTATTAACTTAAAATGAAACAAATAATCACCAGAAACCAAATATTACAAATACACACACCTTGTTGACACTCTTGACAGTGTAGGTTGACGTCACGTTTTATTCAACCAATAGCGTTGCGTTTTAGAAATTTGCGAGGGAATTTTAAAAAAGCCAATTTTTGATGATTAAATTTCACTATTAAATTATAATAAATTTCAAAAATAATTGTATGGGTATCTTTTTTTAGCAATAAAAATTACAAATAAAAATATTTTGTCCATTTTGGTGTCACGTGCATATTCCCTATTGGTATTTAAAATTAGCTGCTCCAGTTTTAATGTGTATGTAGGACTGTCGTGTGAGACACATCGATGGTCAGATGGTTGTTTGGACCGCCTGCACTGTGCGCACGTTGGCTTAAACGCACGTTGGTGTGTCTTTATCTGGACAAGCTCACGTTTCGTGTGCGGCAGCGCAATTAGCACAAGTAGGGGTTTTAATGATGCAAAACTTTTGTACATGACCGAATTGCTGACAATTTAAGCAACGAACTACTTCTATTTCGTCTATGAATCTACAAGTGGCAGAGTCTACATAAAGTTTATCCTTTGTGTTGCCTAGATGTTTTCGAACTGCTGCCTCTATCTCACTCACTTAATTTTAATACGTCCTTGATATTCTGACGGTATAAGGGTTTTAGGAAGGTACGATCTTCCATAGAACCGGGTACGTCTTTAACAATTATACGGGGCTTTCGGCCTTTTGGTTTTCTAATCGTAACCCTACTGATATAATGGCGTCTACAGATTCCAATTTCTTAAGCTGTCGTTCGTTAGCTACACGTAACACGATGCCTGCCTTAGAGGTTTTTTTAACGCCTACAATTTGGAAACCCTCATCGCTCGGTTTAATAGCCTTCATGAGAGCTTGTTTCGTCGCTGACGAGGTCGCATAGTCCACTGAGCGTTCCGTAGTGGGATATGCAATAACACAAGGCCCAGGAACGCGCACTTCAGTAGGTACCGGGTATGGGGCAGATTTAGGTGGTAAGACTATATACTAGAAGAATCTTCGTCTTCTAATGAGTACCAGAAATTAGCAGACGTAACAGACATATTTATGTAAAATTGAAAACAAGAATAACGTGAAGCTATAAAAGCCGAAATAACAGCCCATATTAAAAAGCGGCTAAGTGCGAGTCGGACTCGGCCATGAAAGGTTCCGTAGTAGCAAAAAACATAATTTAAAAGTTCTTGAACCTGTCCCCCGCACGTTTCACACCCGCTACCGATCAAGCCACGCCCCGCGCAAATTATAATTATTATTTACTTAGGCACCTATTACAAATTTATTATTAGAAAATAAGGGTTCACAGTTTATGCATAAGGTTCATGTTTATGAAATTAAATGTTTTTTTTTTATATTTGAGTTGATTGAATGAAAGGTAAATTGCGGTTTACGATTTATGACGTATTAAAAAAAACTACTTACTAAATCTCGTTCAAATCAATTTTCGGTGGGAGTTTGCATGGTAATGTATATCATTTTTTTTTTTGGTTTTATCATTCTCTTATTTTAGAAGTTACTAAAGCTAATGGCACATTCCTGTAAACAAATGTCAAAGCACGATAAAAAAATGGATTTTCAACGACAATCAAGCTGCACTAAAACTGTGCAAAAATGGACGTGGAATACTTGGGACTTAGATGGCGTCGTTGTGAGGAGGAGTGTTGTGAATATATAACCTTAGCACAACTTGCCTATCCAAAGTGTCTAGCTGCCTGTTTCATTTTTTATGTTTGGCAGTCCTGTCAATCCTTGTAAAACAAAATCATTCTAAAATTGTACTTTCTTTTTATGTTATTAATAAATAGAAATAGTTCTCTTCTAATTGCAACCTGGTGTTTAATCTGTATGAAGACCCAACAGTATAACTCTACATAGATTGGCACTTTGTGTTGTAGCAAGTCCCTTTTATGTATAAAAAATTGTAGATTTGTTTTATTACTACTGTACCTATTGGTACTACCTACTATGTGCTTACGCTGATAAAATTTGTTGAAATATGGTATTGTTGCCATAAGAAAAAAAGTAGAAATCGGGGCTTAAAATCCATTACTCTTAACTCACTTTCATCTGTCACTGTCTTTAATGTCACGGCTGTCATCTGACAATACAACTCTACCCCTGAAGTTCTGAAACCTTGATTCATGTGGCAGAATAGTTTGGATTTTGCTATATTATAGTAATCTGTAGGCAGAATCGGCTGGTATTGGTCGAGTATTAGATATTTAATAAAATATAATTTTGTTGACTAAAATGACACCTGAAGAAACGATAGAAAGGTTAAAGTTACTGGGCCTAAACGAACAGAAAGCAAAAGAGACCTTAAAAAATGCCAATGTTACTAAATTCTTGCTTGCGGCATTAAATGAGGTTAGTAATCAGAATTCAGAAAAACTATCAATACTTAGAATTAAAAATAAATACCTACATAATTAATGTCTAATAAAACCTTTATTTCCAGGTTAAAATAGAACAGTTGCCTTCCGGCGCCGGGATGTTGATATACCATCTGGCGACTAAGATTAAACCGCAGATCGCTACTAAATTGGCATTTGTCTGCGGCTACATCGCAGAAGGCAAACTTGATTCAACATTAAGAATAGACGCTGCCTTAGAACACCTACTCAGTCATGTTAGTGATGCTAATGTTGATGTTAGTGCATTTGAGAAAGCCTCCGGTGTTGGCGTGGTTGTCACGCCCGAACAAGTGGAGCAGGCCGTAGAGTTACATATGGCTCAATATAAAGCTGAACTTTTAGAGAAAAGGTATAGATTTAACTCTGGTACTATAATGCAAGCTGTAAGAGCTGATCTGCCATGGGCTGATGGAAAGGCTATTAGGAACGAAGTGGACATTCAGGTAGATTTTAGTCAATATTATTTAGTTTATTGATTAACAACTGATATATTATATTTCAATGTCTTTGTAAAAAAATTATTTACAGATTTTAGACTTATTAGGACCTAAAACAGAAGCTGATTTGGCTCCACCACCCAAAGTTGATAAGAAACCTAAGGGTGATGGTGGAAAAAAAGCTAAGAAGCCAGAAGATAAAGGTAAATTTACCAGTTATACCTTTAAATTGTTGTAATCAGTTTTCTTCTTTTATATTACATCTTAAATTCGTATATCCATAAATATTTTAAAATATAATAAAGCCCTTTTCTTCCGAATTCGCTACAGATTTTGCAATACATATTTCCGAGTTCTATTTGTTATATTATGTCTCACAATTCGGTGCGCCTCTTGGCATAGGCCTCCTCCAGCTCTCTCCACTTAGCTCTATCCTCTGCTACTCTAGTCCAATAAGGTCCCAAAGTTAGGCGGATATTGTCTTTCCATCTGGTTTTCGGACGTCCCTCTCTTCTACAGTCTCCTCTTGGGTACCATAAGGTGTATTTTAAAAACTCACTTTAAATTATTATATGAGAAACTTTAATTTGTAAAGTTTTACACTCAGGCTATAGAAGTTGTAGTTAAGGAAAATGATTTCTTCTTATTCTTGAAAATACATAAAACTTCTTACAAACAAATCCCTTCATTAATCGGAACATTATTATGTTCCGTTTAGTTCCGTACCAAGCTAGAATATCAAGGTAATAGCGGTCAATCTAATAACTTGTATGGTTAATCTTAAGTTAAAAAATAACCTTTTGTTGTAAAGTAACAGTTAAATGCAATTATTATTATAAAATACAATACTATTGTAAAAATTTAGTGGCTCCCAAGGATCACAAAATTGTTTTATTTTTTATATTCCAGTATTGAAACCAGCCGAAAACCCTGAAAGAATAGATGATATCGGTGGAGCATCTTCAATATCAGAATTAATGAAAAAGCTACCTTTTCATGCGCCAGGAGAAAATTTTAAAGCTGATGGCTATGTTGTAAACCCAGATACCAAACGGTTACTTGCAGAACACCTCAAAATTACAGGTGGTAAAGTTAGAACAAGATTTCCGCCTGAACCTAATGGTATTTTACATATTGGGCATGCAAAGGCAATCAATATTAATTTTGGATATGCAGCTGCTCATGATGGTGTTTGCTTCTTGAGATATGATGATACAAATCCTGAAAAAGAAGAAGAAAAGTTCTTTACTGGCATTAAAGATATGGTTGAGTGGTTAGGTATGTAGAACTTTTTATGGGTTTCTTTTAGAGTGCTACTTTTTAAAAAGTGTACTTGATATTTGTAGCCTTATACTAATCATTTAATTTATGGATCCATGATCGAATTTCAAACTCTAATTAATAATATGAATGAAATCACTTTCAGGTTACAAGCCATTTAAAATAACACATTCATCAGACTACTTTGACCAGTTGTACAAATGGGCTGTGGAGTTGATTCACAAGGATCTTGCTTATGTATGTCACCAAAGGTCAGAAGAGATCAAGGGCTTCAATCCACCACCATCACCTTGGAGAAGCAGACCTGTAGAAGAAAGTTTACAACTATTTGAGGTAATTTTGGACTTTGTAAAAGGGATGGAGCTCTGTAAATGTGAGATAGCTGAAACTATCTCTGATATCAATTTTGAAACAATTTTGTAAAATAAAACTATCCAAGATGAGATTCTGTAACAAGTTTTTGCTGGGTTGAGCTGTAACCTAATAATATTATTCACATATTGATGAAGATTACATGAAGTATTGTTATGAAATATGCAGTATAAAAATCTATTTCAACATTTTAGTTAAAAAAATGACTGCAGTCTGCTGAAATCAATTTCTTTTTGTAAAGGTTTATGTATTATTTCACCTTTGTAAATATTTTTAATAGGATATGAAGAATGGCAAAATTGATGAAGGTGATGCCACACTTAGAATGAAGATCACTTTGGAGGAAGGTAAACAAGACCCAGTGGCATACAGAATAAGGTTTAAAGCCCACCACAGGACTGGGAACAAGTGGTGCATCTACCCTACTTATGACTACACTCATTGTTTATGTGACAGTATAGAACATATTACACATTCTTTGTGTACTAAAGAGTTTCAATCTAGAAGGTTAGTATTGTTTTTGTTAATAAAATGTATTTTTTGTTTGGAGAAGAGGTTGTTATCCATTTATGCAATACTGCTAATATACTGAATGTTAAAAACCACACTTTATACACGGTGATTTTGAAAGCGTTTTGGAAAAGAAAATTTTGAGTTATTTATCAGTAACAGAAGCCATATATAACGTTAATTTAATAAAATATATATATTTTTTATCATCAAAGTCGATATTCATATCGATTACAGAGAAAAGAAGAAACCAGTAGTAGGGCTTTTCAATCGCAAGTAGGTAAATACTACGAATAGAAATACTATGCGTTTTAATATCGAGTCACATAAAGGTCGCGCGCTCACGCGCAAGGTCAAGGACGTTTAAATTATTATTCGCCGGAGTGTAGTGCGTGCATACCTGGACAATGAGTTAAGTGATCGGTGGATAGGTCGAGGAGGGCCAGTGTTCTTTAGGGAGTTTTCTTATGGTCGGAAATAAAAATACTTGTTTATACACGGGAATATGAAAACCGTGATAATTTACGCATTGCGATAGTGGACGCTTTTGATTAAGTGAAAAGTGATAGAGACACATTAAGAAAATTAAAAAACAATTGCATTACATAAACGTGGACGTTTGTGTATTGAATGCAGCGGACTCCATTTTGAGCAGTTGCTTCGATACAGAGAAGTGTAAATAGTGTAAATAGGTATGTAAGTTAATTATTCTGTAGAAAGCTCCGATTTTTTAAATACGCTTGAAATATTTATACCTACAGTCCGTTGATAAATTGATTTGTAGTGAAAAGAACAATCGTGGTTAATAATCGAAAAGAAGTTTAAATAAAAGAGGTATTTCCGACGATCCTAAGCCCGTGTAAAGTATGAAGGACAAATTGGAGTCTATCTACGTAAGTACTCGCTAGCTCGCGCCTATAGGTATACTTTTATCAGCTGCTGTTAGCGTCAGCGGTGCGCAGCGGCCGCCGAAACGCACGGACGTGTTTCATTCATATAAGATAATGAATGAATGATCAGTCCATTACTACTTTCCAAGTCGATCGAGTAAAAATGAATATTAAAACTGAAACTTTTTTTTAGACAACATTACAATTGATTTAATCATTTTTATTGGTACTATAGATGATTCCAAATTAAAATGTTTCGTTTCCAAAACGCCTAAAAAATCACCGTGTATAATGGATATCATCATATTACATGACAAGTTTAAATAGTGCTAATATTAGTAGAATATGTTGCTTAAAGTGAAATATTGTTCTATATATCTAGTTTCTATATTAATATACAATGTTTATTATATTATACTTAATAAATTTAATATTCGACTGCACGGATGGCGTAGTGGTTTAAGCGGTCACCTCGCCGAGTGTTGTGGGTTCAAACCCCACATGGAACGACACTTTGTGTGATCCACAAATTGTTGTTCTGAGTCTGGGTGTTCTTTGTGTTCGTTTCATGTATGTTTGTAAAGTCCCCCGCGACACAGGAATGTATTCCTAATGCGGGGGTTGTCTTTATAAAAGAAAACAAATTGAATGTACATTCTTATATTACTCACCCATTTAAAATGGATATTCTGTAATAGATTTAAAATATATGTTATTATTAAACTGTATGTTCATATTACAGGTCATCATATTATTGGTTATGCAATGCCCTTGGAATTTACTGCCCTGTCCAGTGGGAGTATGGACGGTTAAACGTGAATTATACTGTAGTATCTAAAAGAAAAATAGCAAAACTAATAGAAGAAGAAGTTGTTAGAGGTAAATCATGATGTATCTCCTTTACCTTCCCCGGTAGAGGCAATAGCCCATCGCTTGCTTCTATTTTGACATTTTAATATTAAAATTCATATCAAAGGAGAGAATCTCGAGAGAATGTTTTTGTATAAAACTATGTTGACAATTCAATATGAACTTACCCGTACTTTCCGTCCCGTTTAATCAATTTAAACTGGCAAAATCTAATGAGAAAGCTCGTTCCGGTGAGTGTTCTTAGGCGAATCATGTACTTCAATTTATTTTATAGGATTTTATTATTTATGAAATGGATTAGTACAATGAATGTCGTCATGTGTCCCAGACTGGGACGACCCGCGGCTGTACACGCTGTCGGCGCTGCGGCGTCGCGGCGTGCCACCCGCCGCCGTCAACTCGTTCTGCGCCGCGCTCGGCGTCACCGGCGCTCTCGGCGCCGTGGACCCCGCCATGCTCGACGCCTCCGTCAGAGACGTGCTCAACCTCACCGCGCCCAGGTAACTTTTCTATTTTCTTTTTAAAGACAACTTTCCACTAGGAAGATATCCTTGCGGGGTAATTTACAAATATTTATTAAATCTGTCTCAAAACAGCAATTTTTGGATCATACAAACTCCAAAACTAAGCAGGACAACAGCATTGCAGAGAGAAGGAAAACTTGACACAAACCCAGAGTGTCACCACCCCTATTCATCCCGTGGGTGTCGTAAGAGCCGACTAAGGGAAAAAACTAAGCAGGACAACAGCATTGCAGAGAGAAGGAAAACTTGACACAAACCCTTTACCAACCCGTCTGGCCAGCGTGGTATAGTAGGCCAAAACCTCCTTTCTCAGGAGAGGCTTATGTCTAGCAGAGGACTATGAAAGGCTGTTGATGATGATGATGACAAACTCCTATGTCACGAATTCTGCTTTCTACTGCTCTGAATGTTGTGGAACATTCAGAGCAGTAGAAAGCAGCAAAGAGACCGCTTAAACCACTACGCCATCCGGCCCGTCAAAAACACTTCTGCTTGAAACACCAACGTTCTTACTCCTTATAAAATAAATTTATGCCATAACACTTTACCTCAACTCAAGAGAAGTTGTGGTGTTTGTACTGTGGAGGAACGGGTGTCATGTCCCTTCAACACAAAGGGAGGATCCTCCTACCAGGCGAGGTGATCATGCCTGGCGGGCCGCGGCCCAACGTTTGATGTTGGGAAGTTGTATATATGCTAATCGGCGAGGGAATTCTTTATATACGCGATACAGGATTAGCAATTCTTATTTTAGTAGTTACTCCGTAGTTCGGTGTGTCTTCATTAGATGTTTCTGTTTCTTTGTATGTGGGAGTCGCCACAGTACATAACCATTATGACAGCTCCAATTAATGATGATGATAATAAAATACAAGTAACACTAAAAACAATTTTCTTAGCACATGCAAAATCCCAATAATCATTCCCCTAACTAGAGCCAACGGTGAATGAATTTGTTAGACTCGAACCAACTAAAATAGGTGGAGTGAAGTTTCCGAAGTGTCGCTGTCGTCTCCCGGCTCTAAAGCATCCTATAAATAATCTACATATACATATATTACACTGCATTATTTCGGATTTTATTTAAATTTACAATCAATATGATTTGATCTTGAGTAGAGGGAACATATACAAAAAAAAAGCATAAAATTCCTAAAGTACGAAAAGATAATTTATTGGTACCTGATTGATCAGAGGGTAGGGCTTGATCGATGCGTCGCTATTTTCTTAACGCCAATGGACTATACTATAAACGTTTTGTTGAGCATAGTAAGCTTCCGAAATATTCAATGTCATAACATGGGTAAGCTTTCGAAGGACATTATTATACTGTGTTGTTCATTGTTGCAGTTTGATAACGTTATCTAACAACTAGAAATTTTATTATTTAGTTCTCGAGATCGGGTGCTTCTTGTAATATGTTAAATTCGAGTACATAACTGTTCTTTTAAACCAGAATCCAATAAGAGAAACGATAAAGTCATTAAATATTAAACTACCTCCAATCTCTGCACCACAAAACATTGTCGCTGTTAACATTATGTCATAATTAACTTTTAAAAAGTAGCGACATCAATGTGCCTAAATCATGACTAATGATAATAAGCTGTATAATTCATACTTTAATTTTCACTCCTCAGAAGAAAAACATTTTTACCAATTTGAAACGTTCCCTGTATTCAGTCGGTGGTTTCGTCAAAAAGATTTGTGTAAAGTTGTGTCAACTGGCTTAAACTAAGGTTTTATCTATTACCCAAGACTTCCAATTGATTTATTTCTTTTCCTAGATAAATACCTAGATAGAATAAATACTGCTACTTCATAAGTACCTACTACCTATTTTTTTTTTCATCGTAAATATTAAATAATATATCTTATAAATACAAGGTCGTTTCCTTGGCCGTATCCTCAACAACCTGTATATCCTTCTCTTCATTATCAATTTATCACATACATCCCCAATAGAATTGTCAATTCACTATTTTTGGCAGAGAGAATTCAATTGTGGTAAATACTCCGAATAAGTGTTAAGCACCGTGTCAGTCATAACAGTAAGTGTAGGAGTGTAATTTATACCTGTAATACATACTCTGCTTAGTGTCGATAGCGATGTGTATATTTATTTATTTATTACAAACTGAAGGATTTACATCTATGATGATCAGAATAAAAGCAGTAGCAATTACAAATCCTCACTTATATAAATCAGAGATAAGTTACAGTGCACAAGACAATACAGAATATTATCAGGAGGTACTATGTAAGTTACAGGCACAGATCACCTACACATTACACAGAACGTAATAATATACACACAAAACAGACAGGACCCATAACAATAACTACTCGGACCCATCACCATCACCCCTGAAGAATTTAAGGCTTAAACACCTCCTCGCTCCCGTTACACTAACATTAAAAATATCAATTCCAAATTGTTCACACACATTATTGGGGCTTCTAGTTGAATGAATAACAAAAAAAATATCTATAATTCGTCAGTGCAAATGGTAACTCAGCGTTAAAGCGAGTTCTTGGCGGAATATTAATAATCAACTTAGATAAAAGTTGGCAGCAGTCAATTTCGTTACTATTTTTTTTTAATAATAGGGTACAATCAGCGATTTCACGACGCGTTGTAAGAGGTTGTAAATGGTACTTCTTGCAAAGGTCAAAGTATATTTCTGAGTGATACGGTACTTTCTGGTGAAAGCAGAAATATTTTATAAACCTTCTCTGGATATTCTCAATCCGGTCTACATATTTTTGGTAGCAAGGATTCCAAACTTCACATGCATACTCTAAATGGCTTCTGACAAAGGTACAATATAGAATTTTTAAAGTTATTGCCTGTTTGAAGCCCTTAGACAGTCGCATTATGAATCCTAATGCTTTAGAAACTCTGGCAACGATTGCATCTATGTGTTCTTCATAGATAGCTTCGACTCATGCGTGACACCCAAATCCCGGACGGAAGCACATCTAGGCAGCGATTCACCGTTTAACATATAGGCTGTAGTTATAGCGGATCGTTTTCACGAATATGTCACCACCGAGCATTTTCTAGCATTCAGATCTAGCTCGTTGTTTCCACAGTACTCCTCCAAACGAGTCAAATCAGCTTGAAGAGCGGTTATATGTGATGAGATCGCTGCAAAAATTTTCATATCGTCAGCAAAACATAGGAGTCTCGATGATCTACAGCATAATTCTATGTCGTTCACGTATATCGTAAATAGAAGGGGTCCAAGCAAAGACCCCTGAGAACAGCCGCTCGAGATAGGCACCCAGCCAGAGATATAGTTATTGAGAACTACAGCTTGAGTCCTATTCTCCAAGGAATTCTTAAAAAGTATAGAAATAGGTTGGGAAAGGGATGATGCACAGTGCACAAGAAGTTTTGGAGATATGTTATCCGGTCCTTGCGCCTTGGATGTATCCAGCTTTCGAATTAAGTCACCAACGTAGTCGACGTTTATTTTAATTTTACAAAGGTCGGAAATAGAGAGAGAATAGCTGGATTTACGACTGTTATCGACAGTATTTGAAGACTTTTTAAGAAAGTTTGATTCAAAAGAACGCGTCACATATTGATACCCCTGTAAGCAAAGTTTGATTATTGCACGTTAAGGAGCTAGGGATCGAGTTAGATTTGTGACGGTTTTTGACAAATGTCCAGAAATGTTTCGTATTAATCTTGATTGATGCTTCCGTAAGCTCTAAATAGGACGTATAACATTCAGACTCCATTGTTTTAACTCGCGCTCGGAGGAGCTTGTACGCCAATTCATCTGACTTATTACCATACGTCTTGAACTTTTTAAGGTACTTGTATTTTTCTTTTATTGTTCTTATTAACGTGGGGCTGTCACTATATGATATCACTATTATGTTATAGAATATTACTTCACAGTACTCCCAATAAAACGTACTATTTTGTTACAGAATTATGATAGTCCTTGAGCCATTAAAGATCACAATCACAAACTTTCCAAGTGATAAACCGATACAAGTAACTGTACCTAATTTCCCTAACCAGCCTGACAAAGGATCGTACGCAGTAATGTTTAATAAAGTCATTTATATTGAAACTACGGACTTTAAGGAAGAACCGGACAAAGGATATCGCCGTCTCACTCCGAAACAGACCGTGGGTTTAAGACATGCTGGATATGTCATCAAAGTAAGTACTACTACTGGGACAGGGATAACGGTAACCTCTTCAGAGGAAGGTAAAAGTCCATAATTTGGATTAAATGTGTGGTGAAGTATCAAGTTTCGTGACTTGACTATCGAACACGGCGGGGCCTTTCGAAGCAGATTGTTTCAATGTGAAAATATATGTAGAAACAAATCCTTCCTGCCGATTTTTAAAAACGTCTAGTAGTGTGGCTATTAAAAGGCCATTTCTTGCATTAAAGGGCCTGCTAATAATAATCTTAATTTGTGTTTTTAAACTTAGTTTGAAGAGGATTTGAATTGCTAATAATAAATTATATATGGTAAATTATTAGGTATCAGAAATAATTAAAGATGCAAGTGGAAAAGTGCTTGAAGTACAATGTACAGCGCAGCCGGCAGATTCAGCGGAGAAACCCAAAGCTTTCATTCACTGGGTTTCTGAGCCTGTTGATGTTGAAGTCAGGTTGTATGAGCCGCTGTAAGTATCGATAAAACCAATTTAATTGTAATGTTTTGCATTTTATGTTAAACTGTAATCAGCTTAGTTCCCATTGCTATAAAATTTCGTTAAAAGTTTAGCTACATTTTCTTTATCTCTAAGTTCATTATGGATGTTTTTGCAATTATCTTCATGCAAAACAGAAAATGTAAATGTATAAATGCAACCCACAAAAACGACAAAAAACAATAGTGAAGCTATTAAAAATACCAGTTTTTTTAATTGCATACTAATTAGGCATCTTATAAATGATATACTTAATTTTAAATGCAAAAGTGAGTTTATTTGTTTGATTGACATGAAATTTTGGGTACATAGTATACAGAGTGGGTTTCAATCAGATTAAAGTACTGTTGGAATATAGAATAGGTCAAACAAGCAAATGGTTCACCTGATGGTAAGTAGCTACTGCAGCACATGGCTAACTCAGTGACAAGCAACGAGAGAATAACTTAACATCAGTTTTCTGTGAGGCCTTGGGATCACTCCAGTCCAACCAGCCCATATGTACCGAAGCTTGGCTCTCCCACCGTTAAATAAAGATATAAAAACGACATTAAATTGAATTTATGACAAAATCTACCTTCACGCGATCGAAGTTAAAATAACAATATGTGTCGAGAATCAAACCTCGATCCTCGATATTGCGGTGGGCCGGTGTTTTAACCTTCTGAACTGCTAGCGAACGGAGCGGAGGTGACGGGGAGGCAAGGAGAAGTGAGGGCGCAGGCGCAACAGCTTCCACTGCGATTGCGATTACATGCACTCGCCTTACATACTCGATCGGGATCACTGCTCTGTGCAACGTACCTATTTGTCGATATTACAACCCAGCGCAAAATACACTTTACTTTTTATTATTTCTCTAGCAACACCGAGATCTTAACAATATGTGTCCTTTTTTACTCAATTTTGCCCACAATCACTGTTCCACTATCTGTCTAAGACGGTGTCCTTTTTGATAATCATATAAATAACATAAAACTTGTAGGTTCAAACATAAGAATCCAGAAGACCCGAACGAGGTTCCGAACGGTTTCCTGTCTGATTGTCGAGAGGACACCTTAAAGGTTGTAAACGCTTACGCGGATGCTTCTATCAAAGGAGCTCGAGTGTTCGATAAATTCCAATTTGAAAGAATTGGATTCTTCTCTGTGGATCCTGACACTACTGACAAAAAAGTGAGTATTTATTTTGTTTACATTGCCTGTTAGCCTTATTTTGCAGAACTTCATCATCATCATCATCAACAGCCTTTAATAGTCCACTGCTGGATATAAGCCTCACCTTAGAAAGGAGGTTTTGGCCTAATACATAACTTTGCATAACTTACTACTACATAATACATTTTTCGGTTTTAGATAATGGTAATGAATTTCTCTGAAGAAAACAATGATCTTAACTTTTCTAATGAACATTTGGAAAAACCGACGTTTTATTTCTATTCGCTATAAGATATCGTATCAGAATAACAGATTTGACACATTTAATCCAATTTGACAAAACTTTTAGTTACCTGACATTCTCGTAATCCAGCTAAATGTACCTCGATCCTAACAATGTAATATAATATTAGGTCTTCACATATGAAATTGGCGTTTTGTACGGGTGGAATATAAAGTCTTTTTTTTTTTGTAAAATATATTTAATTAATCAAAGTATGCACCGTTGTTATCTATGCACTTTTGCTATCTCATCGGTAGTTCATTGATCCCTTTACTAAAAAACCATGAGGGCGAGAATCAATAAACTCTTTGAAGGCGGTTTGGACTGCCGCATCGGAGTTGAATTTTTTTCCTTGTAAGAAGTTGTCCAAATTTCTGAAAAAATGGTAATCTGTTGGAGCAAGGTCCGGGTGGTCCACCGTACTGGTGGATGTCGCAGACATTCCAATTGTAGTTCATCTAACTTAGTGGTTGTTTGTTGTGCAGGGTGTGGTCTTGCGTTATCGCGAAGCAGCAGTGGCCTAGAGCGATTGACCAATCTCGGTTGTTTAGCAGCTAATTCTTCCTTCATGGTTTGCAGTTGCTGACAATAGATATCTGCCGTAATCGTTTGGCCAGATTTTAGAAAGCTGTAGTGAACGACACGACACCAAACACTCACAAGTAACTTTTTCTGGGTCAATTTTCGTTTAGGGCAGGATTTAGGTGGGTCTCCAGGGTCCAGCCATTGCGACGAGTGCTTCCGATTATCGTACAGTATCCACTTTTCATCACAAGTAATGATTCGATTTAAAATCCCTTCATTATTGTGTCGGTTGAGGAAAGTAACACAGCATTCGACGCGTGTTTGCAAGTTCGATTCACTCAATTCATGAGATACCCATCGTTCAAGTTTTTTACTTTTCCCATTGGCTTCAAGTGGATCAATACAGTTTTATCACTTACCCCGAATCCTGCAGCTATCTCTGAAGTGCTTTGTGAGCGATCCGCTTCCACAATATCTTTTAATTCTTCATTTTGAAATCACAAACGTACCGTGCTTTCTTTTGCGACACCAGCGCCGTACACATCATCAATCCTTCGAGCTGTTCCTGCAGCACTGGTGCCACGGTAGAACTCGTACTCGTAAATATACCGATATTTCATGTTTTCCATTGTGCAGTAATAAGCGAAGCCAAAGAAAAAAGAAATGAGGAAAAAACAAATTAATGACCGTTTTCAAAACTCAAATGTACCAGCAAAAATGAATTTTGAATTTGGAATTCTTAACCAAAGAGGAGATATTTCAGATCAAAGTGGTCAGTACGACAAAACGCTAATTTCATATGTAAGGACCTAATATTATATTATCTTACATCGTTAGGATCGAGGTACGTTTAGCTGGTTTACGAGAATGTCAGGTAATTAAAAGTTTAGTATCTGTAGAATTTGATACCACGGAATTAAAGGATGTGTCCACTTTTTGTATGGACGTTGGTTTTTATTCCGAGTAAAATCCATTATGGCTGAAATTACACTGATATATAGCAGCTAAAATTAGGATTTGGATATTAGTTAGAAAGTAATTGAAATGCAGGCTTTAAATAAGTTTTAAAAAAAAGTTATTTTATGTTAGTAGATATTTTTATTAGAGGATGACAATACTAAATATCCTATTTAATATTATTTATTCACAAGATAAATCAATAGTATATAACGCTTTTCATCTAAACATGACGTAGTCTATCATATTTGCATGTGTGTTGTCTCTTTATATTTGTAAAAATCTCACAATTCTTCATACCATACTCAAAGTAAACATAAAAAATTATAAGAATTGTCAACGAGCGCATAAATAGAATATTATAATTTTATTTATTTTACACCAATTACAGTATGTTAGTTAAATATTACAGACGGATAGTAATATGAAGACAATACAAAAAGGGGAAATTGCTTTTAAAGATTCTGGATTCTTACGTTTCTTTCTTTCGGTCTAAAACGTTCTAGCTTATTTTTCTAATAAAATGCTTATTATTTTAATTATAAATGTGTAATTTATTATTTGATAACTATACTATTAATAGCCATGAGATAACTTATAATATAAATAAATTCCATAAATTACAAGTGATTGAAAAAACACTTTCAAGTTAAGCCCATATAGTACAAAAAAACATATTCACTTTTCGGCAATATAGCGATCTATTATGAATCAGACCCAAAGTTACTAAATTTTGTAAAATATAAAGGAGCAACTATAAATATTATTCTGTATAATACAAAAAGTTTAAAACAAAACTCACCTGTTTTTTGTACAAACACGAACAGAACAAAGTTTCAACGGTTCGCTGTTGGGAAATATGAACACGTTACTGCTTGTGACCTAGTAGCACAAAAAACGGGAGACGAGCGGGGAGAGGCACAAATATACTTACCAAGTCATTATTATCCTTTTTCTTTCTCTGTCAGTCCTGACCGTTAAAGAATTTCATTTTGTGCCCTTAGCATTTAAAGTCACACTCCTACAAAATGTTGATTTAACCCCTTATATTAACTAAGGGAGCGATATATACAATCATCAACAACCTTTAACAGTCCACTGCTGGACATAAGCCTCTCCTTAGAAAGGAGGTTTTGGCCTACTATACCACGCTGTCCAGACGGGTTGGTATAGGGTTTGTGTCAAGTTTTCCTTCTCTCTGCAGTGCTGTTGTTCTGCGTAGTTTACTACTTTAATCGGCTCTTACGACACCCACGGGATGAATAGGGGTAGTGACACTCCGTATTCTTAATCCGTCACCACACAGATGAGTATTTGGTTCATGGCTACGGTAATATTTTCAAGCATAATTTTTTTTATGGACAACAGCTTTAATTCAAATTACAAACTATCCACAAATAGGAACTAAATCTATAAAGAATTGCATTATATTTCTGCATCCTCCATTATGTTCATATTTCATTAATATTTTATTTCCATTGTATCTTAGTTGATATCGAATTTTATCTGTTTTCACTTATTAAGTAATCCATTGTTTTGATTTCAGATAATCTTCAATAGAACTGTATCCCTGAAAGAAGATACAGGAAAATAAATGTCCATATGTGAAACAAGTATCATAAATTTTATACGAATTAACAATAAATCTTATTTATTGATCGGCTGTTTTTATTACCTTGACTGATATTGTGTTATCATATTATATACATTGTTTATCTTATCTTAAATGTAATTATTTTCTTAGAATACTTTGAAGATCCCCTCGAAAGTATTTCATTACGCTGGAAGAAATGACACAGTGGATTTCTAGAGTATTCCATCACTTCCATTGTTGCTGTATATTTACAAAATATAGGTATATTTTTACAGAAGTATAGACATATTGGAGATTTTTTTTTATACCCTCAATCAGCTTATACACGGCCGTCTCATCCCAAACTAGGCAGAGCCTGTACTATGGGAATCAGGTGGTGATAAACATACTTATATATTTCTAAATACATACATATTGTCACGAGCGGTGTATATAATAAATAAGAGTTGTCGGTTAATTACTTTTTTTGCACTGTATTTACTAACACTCACTTCACAGCGCCATGTAGCGCTGTAAGGTATCATAATTAATCACAATCTCAATAGTTGTACTTTACTCGGTACTAGATAGCGCTGTCCTCCGCATTCCACACAATTCTGAAACAATCGATACCATTTCATCCTATGGAGCAACAATATTATAAATAAATTACACCCAGACACAGAACATACGATCGTATTTATTCACACAATTACTTGTCCTGGATGGGAATCAAACCCACGACCTCTGGCATAGCAGTCAGTTGGCTAGACCAATAGGCCCGTCCCGCCCGATTAGTTACAAACCCAAGGTATGTGTCCACCACGACTGCACGTCGCCACTCGCCACTCAAAAGCCCCACTATAAAAAATCTGGAAACTCCAAGGCCTGAGCTAAGATCCCAAGTATTTTTGCGTGTCTGAGTCGAAACTTTCAACGTATTTATTTCACAGTCATTAGCAGTGAAATAAATACGTTAAATGTTTATATCATCTATCTATATATATATATATATATCTATTCTTCGCGTTAGTTTTGTTCGTCATTTCATATCAATGCAACCACAATATGCCACAGCGAAGCACGGTACAGCTAGTTTTTTTTTTTTTGCAGCATTGTAGATTCTAATTAGAGTAATACATTTTTTTCGTATCTGAGCGAAACAATAAGTTAATTATGTTACTACACCCCATTTTCACTATAGTCCATTCGCGTTAAGAAAATACTGACGCTACGATCAAGCCCCGCACACTGTCTAATCGGGTTCCAAGATTTCGTACGAAACGATAATTACTTGGCACCGAATGGCCTATAGAAAACCTTAGATACAGTTTTTTTTGCGAAAGAGGGTAGGTACCTACGTACTTAGGAGTTAACGATGACTTGTGACGTCATATTATAATATGACGTCACTTTGCAATCGTCTACCGGTTCCAATAGCAGTGGATACGTACGGTTTAACATACAACGAAATTGTAACCCTGAATGGGAGTAGATAGCAATGTGCCTGGTGGAAAAAAAGAAATTATTCAGTAATATTTCAAATTCATACTATACAAGATTACGTACACACACCACCTGTCTATATATTTATTAGCGTAACCTCTCGTAACATTATAAAAATATATTAACACTTTCATTAAATTATTTCTTAATTTTAGTGCCGAAATGTAGATTTTAAAGTGTTTTTCCAATCAATTGTTACTAAATATGTACCTGTTTAAGCTGTACAGCCCAGCTCTTGTTTTTGTCGTACTCAGTTATTTTGAAAAATGCCAACTAATTTATTAAATAGCATAGAAATTTTAATTTTTCACATCTAACCATCAGAAAATATATTATAAATGTATAATTTATAATACCTTTTCGAAAACGTATAAAAAAGTATGTAATTAACAACATTGAAAGCTCCACTAAGTACTTATTTCGATTTTTTATCAATAAATCTCACAGCTTTTTTCCAAAAGTGGGCAAAGGTTAACTAAGGATTACTCCTTGGTTAACCTTTGCCCACTTTTGGAATAATCGGTGTTCAGCCGAGTCGGTGGCAGGACGACTGTTCGTAGTGTGATGATTGTGAATAAAAATAGGACCTAGTCACGATCTTTTAATATAATATTATGGGTAATTAAAAATATATACAATACAAAACTATTCCTTATAGATTCAGTTTGCTTAAGCATCTTATTAATATTAAAATTCATGGATAGTCTCGTCCTAATTACTAGTATAGAAACGCAACACAACTAAAAAGAGTAACACACTTCACATTTGAATTCAGAAGTCATTATATTTTTTTTCGGTACTGATATAAGTACAGTTATATCTAAATATGAGCTATGGGGTAAAGGCTGGGAGTGTGCAGCTTTGAGGCACACATTTACTTAGAAAGGCAATTTTCACGAAACAGGACAGGACTGCCTGATACTATTTATAATCTTTACTATTTACATCAAATCTAAATTTACTAAAGAATTCTGTCGAAATCTTCGAAAAAAATATTTTCTTTTAAATTTAGTGTAAAGGAGTGAACTTTCTGTAGTATCTAGGATATGTTGAGAGGCGAGCATGAGGGGCGAGACGGCGCACGATGGGGCGGCGGCGCGGCGCGTATCGAGCGTGGGCGGCCGCGCATGGCATTAGTTCGCCATACTCGGTCACACCGCGATATGCACTACTACGCGATTACACCTCGTACTAAAACCCAATACGTACGATATTACATAGTTGCGCGCGACGAGCTTACAATGTAGAATCTATTCAATCACACGTAAACTTAAGGTAAGTCTTTAACATTGTTTTACTTAACTTTATCTCTGATGGGGTTTACTGGTCACTCCTACAATGTTCATAACCATGGACCGAAGGAAAGTGGTTCAAGTGCGTCATGTTGACGTATGCATGACGTAACCTAGCAGAACACAAAAAATAGGGCATTTGTTGAATAATTAATGCATATTATGTATAGGTAGGTATAGGGAAAAGAATGACTTTTCACCTTGACACCTACGATACAATATTTGCATAAGTGTGTTATACTTTATCAGGTTGAATGGTTACCACCAACCTTTTGTCAAGTTTTTTTAAGCCTAAGGCTTCTAATGTCCCAATATTAATTTGTTGTTAATACACCTCTGTCTATCCCTTCGGGGACGTAGATGTGAGTGTTTGTATGTAGGTATATACTTCATTTCTGTATTTCCAATTCTGACATATACATAAATAAATATTTACAGACTGAATGTGTGTAGGTTATGGACTTACAGGTTTGTTAAGGGAACCTGAAGGCTCCAAATTTGAATAGGTATTCCATTTACAGACTCCATAGTGAGTTTAAACCTTTAGTGAAATAGACGTCTACTTTTTATTAAATATTGCAAACGGATCGTTGGACTGTCCCGAGCTTGCCTCAAAAATATGCCCGTGCCAATCCACCAAGATTAGACCATGGCTAAATGTCCCTTTGATCACAGCAAATTAGAGACATAATTCATTTTTCTTGCTTAGTGCGGTAACTTTTAACAATCTTTCCTTAGACATAGATATTGATATATTTTACAGCAGCACCGCTGCAATATGCGTTTGTATACATTGAGTATAATAGTATACACTATTTTATGAAAATCTGTTTAATGGTTCACAAGTCGTTACCTAAACAAATAATAGTAAAAAAAAAACCGGACTGCCAAAGAACTATTTAAAAGTTATGCAGTAGAGAGACGAGCACGAGGTTCGACACAAACATGGCCCCTTTTTATTTTCGTTTTCAAAAACTTTTTTAGTTATCAAAAACTTTTTAAGCCAATTTATTATTCCTTATTAAACACAAGTAATAATTATAAGTATTTAAATATAAGTATAACTTATATTATATAAGTATTTAAATATAAGTATGACTTATGTTTTTTTGTAATCCTCTTTTAATTGCCTTGATTTTGATACCCTACTCGATAGGCTTGTTTTTTTTCTATTAACCTCTTAGGTACCTACTATTTTACGCTAAAATCCGCTATTTTAATTTTTTATTTTAAAAAGCCATCTAAGTACATTTGGGTTTTTGAGACGGATAAAACAATACATTATCTGTCGAATCCATCCAGCTATATATGGAAGATACGAGGTAATTAAGGAATTTAAAAAGATACGCGCCAAAAACATAACCCTTCCTTGGCAGTTGGATTAAAAATACCATCTATGCTTCACATTAAAAGAGTACCAACCCATTTTCTGTCCCACTTAAAGCATCGTTTGTCCTAAAAAAAAACCAATTTCAAACTGTCCCTAAACTTTTCCATAAAAAAAGGATTTGACCATAAAAATCTTAACAATATCTACCCACGCAGAAATTAAACTCTATCATCTTTTTTCGGTTTAGAGAGCTTATCATTCGCTATCTATTCTAACAGCACTATGTTGAAACCGTAATGGTGGTGCGATTAGTTAAATGGAACACTATTTGCATATCAACGTAGATATATACGTACATACTTGTTTGTACACAATCGGGCTGTCTAAAATTTTTTATTTTTTTAAATTCAACTACCAACAAGCAAGTGTGAAAAAAATGCCGTTTACTCTTTTAATATTAAGTAAGCAGTTCTTCACAACATTAGACATTAGGGATAGAACACTCGTAGGAAGGCAAAATATACGTTTATCTATACTAATATTATAAAGCTGAAGAGTTTGTTTGTTTGTTTGTTTGTTTGTTTGTTTGAACGCGCTAATCTCAGGAACTACTGGTCCGATTTGAAAAATTCTTTCAGTGTTAGATAGCCCATTTATCGAGGAAGGCTATAGGCTATATATCATCACGCTAAGACCAATAGGAGCGGAGCACCAATGAAGAATGTTTCAAAAACGGAGAAAATTTATTACTATTGAGAGACGCAGACGAAGTTGCGCGGGTCAGCTAGTGTTGAATAAACAAGCGGCAGGCAGGCCTGTAGGTCTGGTGGTTAGCGATCTTGTTTGCTAAGCCAAGGGTCGTGGGTTGATTCCCATCCAGGACAAATATTGTG